TCATTTAGAATTGCCAATCCACCTTATAGCATAGAGGTTGTAAACATATAATAATAACACTTACAATGATTAAAAGAAAGAATGTATTACTTTGAAATGAAAGCATTTATCTATAAAGCAAAGTTAAACTGTATTACATCATCATTATTATAATCATTATTTTGCGATGCTCTGCATTACCTTTTCAATTACAGCTCATCTTGCCGTTCACATAAACCAAACATGGGGAACTTCTCTTACATTATTAACTCTGTCCATCTCACTTCTTCTAATCTCACATACAGTACATACATACGAATTTTTATTTTTGCACAGTTGTATTCACATGTGAGAGTAACACATGATCTTGCATGTGGTTCACTGGAACATCACCAGTATGTCAAGGTCAAAAGCTGTGGTGCGCCTTTGTATTGTCTGAATTTCCACATCTCCCTTCATGGCCAGACTGAATTTTTATTAACAATGAAGGCCTGTTTGCAACATTTAAATAGAAAGCTTAATCGCTTCAGTTTGTAATGAGAAACTCGCTGATAAAATGTCTGCCATGTGCCTATGCTGTCAAAATAGAGAAGAGAGCTTACAGTACACATTCTGTATATCACCAATGTTGGTGTGAAAAGACATCAGTTTAGTAAAGAGAGGATGATGAGGTTCATGTTTAAAAGAAGATTTTTTTGAACCTACAGATTGGTAGCTAGGTCTGTCACTAAGAATGCATCATGTTTTTATATAAAACCATCTATATTGTACATTATATAGTAGTATATCCTAGTATCATTTATTAATAGAATAAATCATTGAAAGAGATATCTGAAATAATTTGTGTTTGTGATTTAGTAAAAAATGATGAGTATTATTATCCATTTTTGGAGTTTGATGAATTTTTATCTACTCTCTGTTGCACTTTTTTCTCAACTGCCACTTCCGCTTGCTCTTCTCTGCGGTTCTGTTTTAACACCATTCTTCCATTTCAGCCGCTACAGAGCGTGTAAGCCTCGTCTCTAATCACACTGACAGCATTATCCTCATCATCATCAACATCAGATCAGAATGCTGTGTTTGGTGGTCATCGGGTTTCTTTTATCTTGTTCAGTAATTGTTCTGGCTTGTTTCTCTCTCTGAGAGTCTGACATGATTATGTTGGAGTATTTGAGCAAGCGGTGTATATTATGCTCATTAATGACGATTTTACTAGCATAGTGCAGCCTGAATGACATTTATATCACTTGGTTATGAGTTCTGATTGGTCTACACAATTAACTAAGATTAATTGGTTGGATTAAGACATTGGTTGGCGTAAAGACAGGAATCTTCATTTTAACTACAGCCCAGTTATAAACCAAAGTGTGATCAACTACACATCAAGCAGGATGCAGGTTGATCCCCGAAATCCAAGAAAACTACAGATATCTGATGTACAGCTTTCAGATGCAGGATTATACTCATGTTTTCCATTAAATATTCAGTGGATTTTGACCATAGAAGGTATATAAACCTGAATGACTTGGTTATGAGTTCTGATTGGTCTACCTACTTAAATAAGATTAATTTGTATTGGGTGATAAGGGCATGCAATTTAACATTGTGGTTAAATATGAACTGGATATTTTTAATCAAGTGGATATTTTATCTGCCTATTTTGTCATGAGTCTAATAAAGTACAAATCAATTAATCAATGAAGCAAATAAAAAACAATCAGGCATTTTTTTTTTTGTCATATTTTATTTTAACATGAAAATATTTAAAAAGCATAAACAAGGATAAATTATTATTTTGCAATATTTCCCAGTGTTATAAATCAAGTTCGACTCTTTGAAGGTCGAAGGTCGAACCACTGTAGTCATTTTATTAGTCATGTTACTAATATGCTAATGTGTCTGTGTAACTAATTCATGCTCTGTCATGAGTCAACGCAGAGAAGAGTCTTTTGTCCAGTTTTAAATGATCTCCATGTTCAGTTTGGGTACAGCATTTTTATTCAAAATGCAAACTACCATCTATTATGTTGAAACTTTTGACATTTATGGTAACATCTGGCATCAGTTTACATAAACTGTTAAATCCTCAAAAAAAAAACACTCTCGAAGTCTGACTTCTCTGGTTTTTGTTTTTTGGGGTTTTTTTTGTTTGTTTTTGTTTGTTTGTTTGTTTGTGTTTTTAATTGCAGATTGTACCAAGTCATATGAGAGAAATATTCTACACCAGATGAACAGAACTGCTGTTAAGGGGGAAACTGTTATTTTACACTGCAATGGAACTCTGACAAGTGGACTTAAAGATATTGGTTGGCGTAAAGATGGGAATGTTCTTTTTAACTACAGCCCAGTTAAAAACCAAACTGTGATCAACTACACTTCAAGCAGGATGCAGGTTGATCCCCGAAATCCAAGAAAACTACAGATATCTGATGTACAGCTTTCAGATGCAGGATTATACTCATGTTTTCCATTAAATATTCAGTGGATTTTGACCATAGAAGTTATATATAATGGTTTGTAATTAGTTTTTAATATGTTGTTTTTAATAGCATCAACTAAAATAGCATCAGATAGCATTTTTTATTTAGAATTCATTTATTGATTAATTCAGATTATTTTTCTGTTTGTATTTTTATCTTTTGCCAACACAGAGAGTGAAATACAACTCCACAAAGCAAGGCCATTCTACATAGTTTTCTCTGTAATCACAGTGTGTGTCGCAGCATGTCTCTTTATCTTCTCTGCCGTGTGTCTTCACAGGTGAGTGACCACCTCAAGATTTTTAGAAAAAGTTTACCTCTTTAATGGATTCTAAACAACATCTAAGTTTTTTGACCTTTCAATGACTAAATACCATAAATACAACCACATTAATTCATTAGTATATAGAATTAGTACATAGTTAGTATAGTGTATAGAATTAGCACAAATACAATCAAAAGCCATATTAAAAACAGCAAGAAGAGCAAAAGTAACAAGAAGTTATACTGCCACAGAGACTGAAATAAGTCCCAGATGAAAATGATAATTAGATGTTTAGTTGTGTGTGCAAACCATAAGCCATAATAATATTTTAAAATTTTCAGTTAGAATTATCCTTTGCCCTATCCTCAAAGTCAGCATTTGTCTTCATACAGAACATTTAATCCCGTTCTCTACCTCAATCTTGAATTTCCAACATCTGTCATGCTCCTTTTTCATTAGTAATTAACATATTAATGCTACGTGCACTCAGAAATTACAACAGTGATTTAAAGTTTCACAGCTTTATCAGGACTGGAACAAGAACAACTGTTTGTAGGCCACTTTATTTTGTTGAGTCAACTCATGTTACACTGCAAATAATAGAATAAAACATTTGCTTTTCATTACAGAAAATGGGAAAAGAAAGGAGCCTCTGATCAAACGGACACTGGCAATGAGCTTGTAAGATTTCTCTTAACAGATATTTTAACATACAGTACTTTGTAAAAATCTTATTGTAAAAAAAAATTCCATTAGATAACAAAAAGGACTTTTTCCACATCTAAAATATGACTATAATGTGCAGTGTTATAAGGAAATCAGATGGTCATTTTTACCTTTTAGAGAACCTGCCTTAGTTTCTCTACAGACCTTGCTCTTTTGTACTGATGTAGTAATTCAGGAGACACAAACGTCTAAGGCAAGACTTTTTAAAATAAAAACTTTACACAGTGCTGTACATAACTTTACATCAAAATGCTGTTAAATTTTTGATTCTGGTTGGTCAGAAGGTATTGATTAATTTTCTATAAAAGCAGCTCTGACATATCACGTTTATATTAATGTGCTCATTTTAATACGTTATTTTTCTATACTAAGGTTACACAGGACCTTGTATGGTGGACACTCCACATAATCTAAGTCAAATAATAAAAAGATTAAATAACATGTTACTGTTTAATAAAGAACATGTAAAATTGTTGATGAAGTTTTCTGTAAGATGTTTATTTAGCATTTTTGGAAGGATTCTCCAGTGTGAGTGGCAATCAGATGTGATGCAAATTTTTACAACTAATTTAAAGATATAAAAACCTATAAAAACCTTTGCTATTGTAAGTTTTTAACAGATTCATTAAAGATTAATGTAAAAATGAACATATACATTATTGTTTCTTTTCTTATCTGTGTAAAGGCAAAAGAAGATTCTCTCCCTCACAGTGAGACGATAACTTCCTGTGTAAGTTTCCCACCACGAACCCACCGAGTTACACAACTCCCACCTTTCATTTACTGAGTCAATCAACTCAAATTATGATGTACTCAAGATATGCTTAAATATATGTAATATATATACATGTAATATATGTCATATAAAAATAAAATATATGATAAGATATACTGTTTTATACTATTTTACTTTTGATTTTTTCACAGGTCTACGTCATGACAAACTCAAATAATGTTGCCATTGGCTACAACTGAGCAACATGTTTTTCTGCATTACAGAGTCACCATCACTTCCTTCCACTGAAATGTTTCTATGAGGCTCATGTTCACAGGGCTTATAAACTGACTGGCCTTTTTACTGTACATTGAAATCTGGATAATTAAATTTGGTTAAAACCTTTAGGAAGCAGGTTTGACGTATATTTGTTGCTCAAATATAAAACAGTCAAATGCTTATTTAAAAAAAAACTAAAAGGAATAAAGTTTTTAAAAAAATGCTTAATTAGGTTAGTGGAAAAACTGCAGTCCTGTCATTTTACATGACTAAAATAGAAACTATCAATGAGTCTGGCTGATATGGTTTTCTAAGAATTAAATATTACATAGAAGATATAATACATAGACGATATAATAATGTTGAAAAAGGTTCAGTACTATGTTCAAAGGCTGTAATTTTTTTGTATGCATTTGCTGTCACATAGCACTTACTTAATAGAGTATTACCTGACCTCCTACATGTTATTTTTTGCTATTTTCACATCCTACATATGCTCAGGCAGAAGCAAAGCCAATAGTGCACCGTCTTGTGCAGCCCCAGTGGCTGGGGTCGGTTCCCTGCCCGGGAATCGAACACGGGCTGTGGTGGTATGTGCGCTGAGGCATGACCACTAGTCCTCCAGGGACCTCAGATGCAAGCAAGTAATAATATATCATTAATAAAATGTTATATAGACAACAAGCCTCTATTGTAGATCATATACTGTGCTTTAACACTAGAGGTGGGGTAATGCATGAGGGGGAGAGGCCTTCTCTCCTCAGGATGTGGTAAACACTGCTGTTACTCAGAAAACTGCCATGGACATACAGCACTACAGCAGTTGAATGTTGGTCTGGCTTTTATACTGAGGACTGTTTCTAATTTTATCTTTTTTTTTATCTTATCTAATTTTATCTTTAATCTAATCTTTTATATCAAAGAAAATCATAAAATCCATCCATAAAATCATGCAGATACAGGTCAAGAGCTTCATTTAATGTTCACATCAAACATCAGAATTAGAAAAATGGTGCAAAAAAAAATCCAAAGACAAGGTAATATTTTTCTAATCTTCAACTGCCCAGTTTCAGTAAGTCTTTGCCCACTGTAGCCTTAGATTCCTGTTCTTGGCTGACAGAAATGAAAACTAATGTGGTCCTCATTTTCCTCTGACCTCTCTTATCAACAAGCCATTTCCACCCACAGAACTGACACTAACTGGATAGTTTTCCCAGGAGATCAGCAGTTTCTAAAATACTAAAACCAGCCAGTCACCAACAACCATGCCACGGTCATAGTCATCGCATTTTTCCCCATTCTGATGTTTGATGTGAACATTAACTGAAGCTCTTGGTCTGTATCTGCATGATTTTATGCATTGCACTGCTGCTACATGATTGGCGGATAAAATAATCATAAGAAGTTATAAAAAGTTAAAAATGATCCTTGTTTGATATTCCTCACTATGTGATTAGTTACTCTCATGAAGCAAAGATGAAAAATTTCATCTGCAACTCTAAGTTGAAAAAGCAATATCCTGGTTTCTACAAACACAAAGATATCCTAACTAAAATGGAAAATCAGTCAGAAGTCTGTACAGCTAAATGTGCCAGAAATGTAATTTGACATCTCTGCTTTAACTCTGCAATGGACTAGCTTCCCAGTCAGTGTGAATTCTCCCACCTTAAGCCCAGTGTTCCTGGGATTTCCCTAGGATCCACCATAACCCTGACCAGGATAAAGCAGTTACTGAATAAATCTCTACATAAATATATTTTACCAAAATGATGTAGTAATATTTTTATTTAGGTTACTTTCTAATCTTGCCTTGGCCTCTGCCTACAAAGATCATGTTATTTAAACAGCCAGTTCAACAAACACATTGGTAATTGCAGGTTTAAACAAAAATTATGAGAATTATTATTCATTTTGGACACATGAATTCTTATCTGCTCTCTATTGCACTTTTTTCTCAACTTCTGCTTCCACTTCCTCTGCGGTTTAACTCTAAAGCCAGCCATCTTTTACAGCCAGTCTTCTACTTTAGCCACTATAGTATGAAAGCCTCATCTTTAATCACACTGACAGCATCATCATCATCAACATCATCAGATAAGAATGCTGTATTTGGTGATCATCATGTTTCTGTTATCTTGTGCAGGTATTCAGTTTTCAATACTTGTTTTAGTGTGTTTCGCTAACTGAGGGTCTGGCGAGTATTTATGTGAGAAGTGTATGTCACACTTATTAATAACTTTTTACTAGCACAGCATAGCCTAAATGACATTTTGGTTATAATGTCCGATTGGTACATATACTTCAATAAAATTTAATTCTTACAGCACAGCACAGGAATTTAACAATGCAGTTAAACATAAATTTTGTATTTTTAATCTAAAATTATTTTAGTGCTCGGTCAATATTTTTATCTATGAATGTGTCAGATATAGCTGAATAAACAAAGTGATTATCACAAATTAACAGAAAATCAAGAGTCCTAAAGTTTAGAAGTATAATTGGCAAAACCAACGTAGCAAAAAGAAATGAAAGTATTTCCACATTATTAACATTAAACAGTCTTTGGCTAGAATGTAGCAATTATGTATATATACCAAATTCTTTATTTGTTTTGACTTAAATTCTACATGAACAGAGTTACTGTATAGTTGAAACATGAGGCATCTATTTTCTGCTGTACAAACTAACTAGTTGTCAGATAATATCGTGTTATTCTGGTTGTCGGCAATTTGGTCTAATTGTAAAGTGCAATATTTTTCAGTTTTTCCATGATTAGTTCTGCAGTACTGCAGTATTTATGCAAAATTCTCACTGCCATCTAACATACCAGTATTAGTGGCATTAATATGAACATTTGCCATCAGCTTATTTAAATACTGTGAATTCCTCAACAAAAAAAGTAAACCACTCTGATACTAATGTATACCTTAATAACTTAAATGTTGAGACAGTATCAAAGATGACTTCACTTTTTTATTCTTACAGATCATATCAAGACATATGAGAGAAATATTCTACACCAGATGAACAGAACTGCTTTTAAGGGGGAAACTGTTATTTTACACTGCAATGGAACTCTCTCCAGTGGACATAAAGATATTGGTTGGCGTAAAGATGGGAATCTTCTTTTTATCTACAGCCCAGTTATAAACCAAACTGTGACAAACTACACATCAAGCAGGATGCAGGTTGACCCCCAAAATCCAAGAAAACTACAGTTATCTGATATACAGCTTTCAGATGCAGGATTATACTCATGTTTTCCATTAGACATGCAGTGGATATTGACCATACAAGGTAATTATATATATGGCAGTCTGGGAAAACCTGTCAAATGTTGCTGTGGCTGGATTCTGGGAAACAGCCAAAAAAGACAAAAAAAAAATCAGGTTTTGGATATTGGGGTTTTCTGCCCATAACATAATTTGATTCCTTAACTTTAAGAAACCACAAATATATTTGACCAAATTAATATGGAAATATTTTTATTTACTTTTTTAATCTTACCTTTGCTACCTGCCCTAAAAGGTCATGTATAAGTAGGCAGTTTAACAAATGTGGTGGTAAGATGTCAGTCTGCCTAAAGATGTCTAAAATAGGGAAAATAGGGGAGTTTTTGAAAATGTGGCTAATTTTCTATTATTAATAATTTTCTATTATGTTATGGATGTTAGAAAACTGTGTATGTTTACCCTGGTCAGGTTTTTCTTTGGTCTAATGTTAATTTCATACATTTCCATTAATGACTTACATTAAATACAATATAATACAATGATACTGACCATAGAAGGTAATTAATTGTTGTTTTGAATAAGCATTTAATATGTCTTTCTCAGTATCATCAAATGAAATGGCATCATATAGCATCTGATGAGTGATCATTTTTTTAAATGATCAATTACAGCATATATAATATTTTGTGAGAATACAGCTTATTCTTCATTTTGTATTATATTCGAATTTTTAATCTTTTGGCACCACAGAGAGTGAAATACCACAAGTCACAGGAAAGCCATTCTACATAGTTTTCTCAGTGACCACAGTGTGTGTCGCAGCGTGTCTCTTCATCTTCTGTGCTGTGTGTCTTCACAGGTGAGTGACCACCAAAGGTTTTATAAAAAGTTCACCATTTTAATGCATTCTAAATAACATAGTTTTTATTTAACCATTAAATAATATGTAGTATATAGTATATATTGCATTCATCTTTTCAAAATATATTAACTGTTGTGAAACAACATCACCTGAAGAGCAGAACACAAAGTTTCAGCACTTAACAATACAGCAGCATGATACAAATTACTACATTAAGGACAAATATACCATATCATAACAGTGTGATATGAGTACAAAAAAATTCAAGGCAATAATGCGCAGGATAATGAATACACAGGACAGTGTACACTAAGTATACAGGAATATATAGGTTATACACACAATCCCAGTCCTTACGCATTGGGGATGTCTATAACGCCAGGAATAAGATTCAAATTCAGGAAACAGAATCATTATTATTATTATTGTTGTTGTTGTTGTTATTGTTGTTGTTTTTGTTGTCGATGATAATAATAATAATAATAATAATAATAATAATAATAATAATAACAATAATAATACAAAACAGGAAGAAAAGACTTTTGCCCTGCCCTCAAAGTCCATATACAGAATTTTTAATCCTGTTCTCCATTTCAAATTTCCAACATCTGTGGTTACCCCTTTTCATTAGTAATTAGCACATAAATGCAATTTACACACAGGAATTACATTAACATTATCACAGCTTTATCAGGACTGGAAAAAAAAGGTTCATTGCTTTCTGTAAGCTGCTTTGTGTTTTAGACTGTATTAATATGAGGTTGTTTAGTCCATTCACATTACGCTGCAAATCAAAGAATAGACAGTTTGGATTTCATTACAGGAAAAAGAAAGAAAGAGCAGCCTCTGATCGAACTGAAACTGGCGATGAGCTTGTAAGTTCTTTTTTTAACATAAATATGTACGCATGTGAATGGAGGGTTAATATTAATATTAGGAATACTATATACTGGTATATTTATTGTTAATAAAATTAATCTCATGGTAATGGAGAAACTTTGATTACATGATGGCAAAAACTATGAATTTGTTGTCTGCCAGAACTAATAATAATAAATATAACATTTAAACATTGAAAAATGTTTTACTTTCTTCTATATTGAGACATAATTAAGTGTTACCTTCTTTTCATTCATGTGCTAAAATTGGAACTGTATGCGCATATCAAAATGTCCTTTATTAGCTGATGAATTCAATGTGACATTTTGATCAACTCTACTTTAACTGGCAAGTTTCATCATTTATAAATTTAGAAAGGATTTGTAAATAATGTAAACTTTTGGGCCTCAGCTACTGAAGAAAAACTTATTTCTGCCATTTGACCTTGCTGTGACCTTGACCCTTTTTGGATCAATTCCAAAATCTAATCAGTTCATTTGCTGGTTACAATGATAATTTCATATAAATACTATAAACATTCAATCAGTTGTTCTTGAGTTATTGGGCTAACGAGAATCTCAGTTCATTAATTTTCTCATTAATGAACATATGTTTTCTAACATGTCCATTAATGATTACTGGTGGTCAATGAAA